ACTTTGGAGGTTGTTTGATTTAAATGTTTATATTGTAAATCTTTGGGAAATGGAATCAAAGAGGAAGAAGCTTGGTTTGAGCTTAAGAATTAGTGTATGGAAGGTGTTTGACATAATGTCGAGAAAACTTTACTTGATTTGCATATTTTTTTAAAATTTCATTGATCATTGTGGTTAGTATGTTCAATTCGAGTGCTACTACTCTATAAACTTACATTGAAGATTGTAAAGGAAATTTGAGCATGACATTAGTACAGGCAATTTGAAATCTTGGAAATAGATGGTTGTTGATGAACTATGTGATAAGAGATGTGAATATTAAATAAAAATAAGAAGGAAAAGAAGCCTTATTGTGGAAATTGGAAATAATGCACTTTTGCAATTTTGACAAAAAATTTATTACGAGATTGTATTTTGGTGGAATGCTAAGCTGTACGGCTTTAAGGAATTTTTATGTATAAAGTCTTAATTTTAAGAATTTCAAATTTTTTATAGTTAAATTTTGATATTGGTTTTGTTGGAAATTTATTTAAATTCTTACAATGATTTGGAAAGGGAGAAAATCATTGAATTTTTGGAATTAAGTATGTAAGTGAATAGCACCCCCATTACTTCATCAATAAAAGATGTCTATTATTGAAGATATTACATTTTTATATAAATTATTTTTTAACTGTGATAAATATTGAGTACTTTATTAATTAAATTATTTTAGTTTTGAAAATTATAGAATAATGATGAAGGGCAATTAAATTATGATATGTGCATGTATTTTTCATTAAGAAATATACTTTCAAGATTTATGAAGGCATCTTGCTTATTGAACTCTAAAATTTCTTGGTTATTCAATTACTACAAGCTTAAGCATTAGCTATGAAATATTATTCTGACAAGTTTTGATATTTGAAACAATTCATACGAGTTTGGCATTGAGAATGAAAATTTTATTTTAGTAATGATTATTTTTCTTGTATGTTCAAAACATGATTTTAAGAGGACTATAAGTAGAATGCTACTGCTAACGATAATTCTGCTAGCCCGTAACGCGCTATGGTTGATGACAAGCTAGCTTGATTTTCATGGGCTTTGTTCTCGTGTTTGATATTCATGGGTTTCAAACCTGCATTTGGTTTCGTGGCTGTAAGCCACATTTGGTTAACATTACTCTTATACATTGTATGTCCACATTTGTTATTTGTTATGTTAAGTCCTTAAAATTCTAAATTTTTAATTAACTTGTGTATTTGAAATTTCAATGGTTTCAATTAGTAAGTGTATTATTTTGATTTACATATGGATAATTTGTTTTCTTCAAGCATGATAGAATAAAACAATTTCAGTTCACTTTCATTTTATGACTATGACTATGACTATGATTTACAAATTTATTATATTTCTTATATTGAATTATTATCTTTTTAATTATTTACATAATCATGTGAGGTATTTTTGTGATCTTTTCAATTCTAATTTTTAGGGATGTTATTCACTAAAAAAATATTTTAGCCTCAGATTCATTAGTTGACGTTGAACTTTTTGCTTGTTATTGAGGAGTTTTACCATTGATGGGGAAGTGGAAGAGCTATAAACTAAGCTACCTCTTGATGTGAATTTGAATTATAAAATTGTATTTTGTAGATAAATTTTATGTGCTCTACATATGCTATAGCTAGGGTCCTTATTTTGACATATATTTCATATGCTGATTGGAAGGAGCTAAGCTCCTGGTTATTATGATATCTTCTTGAAATTGTGTATTGTAGAATTATAGGAGATCCTATGTACAAGGAAAAATTGGTCAGAATTTTCACAAATAAAAAAATAGTAAGGCTTCATTCTAAATGAAAAGTATTTTAAAAATAAAATGAAATACAAAATTTCTTGAATTAAGCTCAAGGGATGTGTCTTTAGGTGCATATCATGTACCGATCACTCTAATATTTTGGGATGAGAAATCTTTAGTTTTAATTTTGCTTAAATTTCTGTATTATTACACATCTACTCCAAAACTTATAAAAATACAAATACACTTAAAATACCTTATATTTATTATTTTTCCTAACATTCCTTCAATATTACTTTATATACATTAGCGAAAGTGATAAGTAATAAGGGTTTGGCAGAATGGTATTGATGTATCAACCAAAAAAAGTTGGTCTCATTAATAAGGATTTAGCCAATAACCCACAAAATTGTGGAATCAAATCCTACTATCAATATGATCGAGAACTTTGTTGATGGGCGATTTGGTAAGTGTTTATTGCATCTGGAGACATGACCTTAGTGAGCTCTTGGGACCTAGCTCACCTAAAATTTTGTTTATTAAAATAAAAGGGTACTGCACAATGTGAATGGAGTTAATAGTTAGATAAATGAGGACAACAATGGGGCATGAGGCATACTTGGCTACTTTATTAATGGCAGAGTCTAAAATTGGAAGAAGGTCAGCGGCTTTTATGGTTGAGTGGGAAACACCAAGACTTCAATATGTAGTATTTAATTTCTTACTATTAATTGTATTGACTAATGAAAAAACTTACATATAAGTCCCATAGAGCAGACTTGTTTATAATAAGTCCCGCAAAAATTTAGAAACCTCAAATAGGTCCCTTGGGACTTAAGTGTAATTTTAAATTGAGATAAAAAGAGAATATTAAATATATATACATTACATCATCAAATAATTTACAATTACTTTATCAGTAATTTAAAACTATAACTTTAACTTTTTACAGTTGTAACTTTATATATCTAATAATTAAACTGATCAATTTAACTATTGAATATGTAAAGTTGCAGTTATAAAAAGTTGAAGTTATAGTTATAAAATAGTGATGAAATAGTTGTAAACAACTAATGTTACACTTTATTAGTAATACATGATTGTTTAACTATTGGATATATAAAATTACAGTGATAAAAAGTTGAAATTATAGTTGTAAATTGTTAAAGAAGTAGTTGTAAATTAATTATTTAATTGATATAATGTATGTTTAATAGATGTATTATTATCTTTACAGCTTAATTTTAAAATACACTCAAACTCCAAGGGACCTGGCTGTGGTTTTTGAATTTTGTGAGACTTATTTGTAAATAAGTCTACTCTATAGAACCTATATGTAATTTTTTCTTGATTAATTTCATGCACGTTATTTCACCATTCTAATATGGACTTGCATTCTATTTGGTTGTATTAATAAATGGAATGGGTGGTATGTAAAGCCACTCTTATTACAATAGTCGATAAAGAAAAGGTTATATGTTTAGAAATTTTTTTTAGAAAAGGTTATTATTTTATTATCATTAAAAATTTTCTCTGCAGTTTATGTTTCAAAGCAATTTGCACATTTATTTCTTTGCAGTGGACTAATAATTATAAGTTTTGAATATTTATCCAATGTTATATTTGACTATTTTCATGCTATTTAAATCATCCCAAAAATAAGTCCAATTGGTAAGAATTTAGCCCATAATTTATAAGGTTATGGAATAAAATCTTGCAGCCAATATGAATACCTTATTAGTAGCGACTTGACATACTCTAATCTTGGTGAACACCCAAGATTCAATTCACCTAAACTTTCAAAAACAACAAAAAGTTAATGAACAATATATTTTATGAATAATTTGACTCAATGCAGATTTTAAATCATATAGTGATATTAATATTTATTTAATATATTTTGATATGACAATTATGGTAAGTAAATAGCATTCTAATGACTTGTTAGCAAATTCATTTTCTTAAAGATATTCATCGAGCATGTCATGTGCCACCTCTTCTATTTATACAATCCTTTTGATTCCTCAAGAACAAATGATAGATTATTTTAATTTATTCTTACTTAATGGTTTATAATTTTAATTCCACTACTGATTATTATATATTAGATTTATAGAAGGAGTTGGAATTAGTTTTTTTAAAGAATATCTGAAAATATTTGCTATATTGATAACGATTGATTTTAAAGCTTGAGGAATGATTGATTATTTTAATTCATGCATGAAAAAAGATTGATAAATTTATTGAAAATTGTTTAATATATGATTTTTTTAATAAGAGCAGAGAGATAGCGTTTTCATATATTATAAATGCTCCGTATCTACTTTGTTATTATTTATATATTTTATTTTTTCATATTAAATAATTATTTTATTATAAATATTAAAATATAATTAATAATTAATTATAGTTATTATTATTTATTTCCTCTCTACTTTAATAATTAATGCAATTTATTATTTATTATTTATCATAATAATTTAATCAATATTTGTAATTAATATTTATTATTGTTTAATAATTAAAATCAGCGAGGTGACATTTTCTAAGTGGTTAAATGCCTCTTTGCTTTGTTATTAAATTAGTATATTGTTAATCAGCTGATTAAATTATTATTTGTTATAATTAATAAAATTTTAACAAATCTAAGATTTGGTATTTAATTTTGAGGTTAAAAAATATGTTGTCAAAACTAAATACTTTTAGAGATATTAGAATTAATGATACATTATTATCTAGGTAAACTTATTAAATTAATATGTAATAAATATGATTAATATTAATGTTATTTAAATATTTATAATAAATTAATTAATAATTTATAAATATAAACACAGAGTTGGGGCATTGTAATTTATGGAAATTAATTATAGATGAGTGTCCTTCTAGCCTTCATAATGAAATTGTATTAGGCTTGCAGAGCAATTTTTCTTCTTTTGGAGGCCTTAGGTGTGATTGTGTCTTATAAATTTTGGAATGTAAAAACATAGTTGGTAAACTTTTTCCACACGTGATGGATTGTCCATTGATCAAGATACATTATTACACTTTGTTCAAGGTGAAAAATTTGTAAATATTTCCATAAGCTATTTGAGCATGAAGATATGTCCTAGCCATAGTAAACTCCCATAACCTAACTCAACTAAACTTTTTTTCATTAAAAAAAAGGTCAACATACACAATGTTTGACACATTGTTATATAGGAATATCAAGATAAATGATAAATATCCAGATTAATATTTCTATAAACTTTTTTCATCAATTGGAAAAGTCAACATACACTAATGTTTAGCACATTCTTATATAGGCCAATGGAATACAACCTATATGTACAAGAATATCAAGATTAATGATGCTTAGTCTTCTACAATAATAAATTGGACTAACCCATAGACCCTTTATTCATCTTTCTGTGGCCCTAAAGGACTTAGTCATGTTTAATCCTTAGTTCAAGCTTCTTGTAATTTGAAGTTTCCAATGAAATGAGAGAGTTTGGAATGCTATGTGATCTATGAATCCAAAATGATAGGATGATTTAGAACTACGTTCGAGATGTTCAACACCTCATTAGGCATCTCCTTGGCATGAATCACATCATCCTTCTTATAAGCTAGGTGAAGTGTTCTACACATTTTCCAATAAACATCTTTGACATCAGCTGAAATCATGCTTCCTTTTTTCTGCAGCACTAATCTCAACAGCTCTTTTCTTGTCTCATCAATCTTTCTCTTTATCTCTTTTATAATCTGTTCTTCACTTCCTGCCCCACACCCATGGTTCAAGCGCAAGCTTATTGAGTTGATAAATTTCCCTTGTTCTTTCTCTCTCTGCAAAAATATATGTACAATCTTATTCACTTACTGTGTTACAACTATCACCTCCCCTCTCACTATTACTTCTAGATATTGGAAAATTTAAAGAAAAATTTTAGATGAAGGAAACAGATAATGATCACCTGGTAACCGTTGATATCATTGAGGTATCGCCCATGGAGACTGACAACCTCAAAGAGGCGATTGTATTCATCACTTTCAATGATAGCCTGTGGAAGCTTGGGTCCAACAAGATATACTACAGGGACGATAATTGGTCCCAATGCTAATGTTATGATTCCGTTACGCTCATATTCTTCTATGCTTGGAACACACTTACCTCTGGACCATTCTGCTTCCTTTAACATAGACCGCAGCAAATCCACCCACTAAAAATGATAAATGACAACATTCATGTGATTAGAAAACATGTAAAATATAGTTCGTCAATGGAGTTTAGTTTGATGATGAAATTAATGAAGAACAAAAGGATATTGCTAGTCACTAGAACAACTAAGCCGATATTGTAACAATTATGATCTTACAGTTTGAATCAAGTGGTTCAACACACAACGCCCTTGAACTTTATATACTTGGGTTGCAGTCTCACATATTGTTCTCTTTAATGCTTCAAATAGTATCTTCACCGTCTCAGAACAACTTTCTTTGTTGACATCTATGTCCCACCTGCAGTTCAATTAATGTTCAAAACAAATAATCTCATCTTATATGTATGTATGTATGTATGTTTATGGAGAGAGAAAACTAAATATATGGGTTTATTAGAGTCCAACATACTTCTCCATTAACTGTACGAGATTTATCTGTTCATGTTCGGTACTCCAAACATCAAAGAAATCATCAACCATACAGCCGAGCAAGCCTTGTTTTGCCCATGTAAGACGTGCTTCACGAAGTTCAGGAGAGGTGAGTGTCGTTGAAACAGACAAGAAGGTATAGGCAGCTTTTGTTTTTGAAATTGGAAAATGTAGTTTCTCTAGTCCACTATGCATAACCCACCTAATTATCATTACATGCTTATTAGTGATTCAAGCACTGACATTATATGTTAGGATGAAAATGCTAACTAGAATTGAATGCTTTCTATGAAACATAGAATTTAATGATAAGTTCTTTGAATTTTTAATATATATATATATATATATATATCAATTCAATTTCTTCAATCACATAAAAAAAACCTCAAATTTTCTATATATACTCAGCTTTAGGCTTGGAAAGGGTACTGACCGATTAAATAGATCAAGTTCTTCATGAAATAACAACCGACAGTGGTTAAAGTTTTCCACTCCTAATTTCAGGAATTCACTATTTGCGAGGTTGAAAGAACTGAATGACAATATCCATAAAATATGAAGTGAGTAATCAATGTAACTCATGAAACTCGAGAAGGGTATTATGATATGTACCTATATGAAGATTTCAAAATTCTCTTTTGATCCACTCTATAATGGTCTATAGATCTTCGATTGAATACAAAATCCAAATAAGCATGATGAGGAAAACACAAAGCAAAAGATACCTAAAATTGATAAATGAATTATTAAACTTTAGAACTAAAATCAAATACGTAAGATTACTATATATAATAATGCACATAGCGAAATGACCTTATAATTTAATGGCATGTTAGTTCCTCTATAAGTAGGAAGTCACGGGAAGTCACGAGTTCGATCCTACTTGTAATTAAACTTAGGTTATTAGTGCATGCCCCTTTGATTCCAAAAATAATGCACATACATACCTCGTGGTCAATATTGTTATAAATTTTATGAGTATTTCTCGAGGAAGAAGACAAATATTCATGAAGAAAGTGTCCTGTCCAGGTGTTTAGTTCATCCAAAACTGAATCATTTGAATTTGAAACTATATGTGAGGCTTTATGTAATTCCAAAACAGCCTCAACATCCTTCAAATAACCCTGAAGGGTATTGAAGAATTTGTCCTTTGAAAAACGATCAAGTGCATCTGAAAATATACAAACACCAGCCTTTTTTAACAAAAAAATCTTATTTAAGTGAAACAATGATTTAGTGGTAAGAAATTAAAGACATAAAACCTGAAGAAACATCATATCCATGCAAACGTAGTAAACGAAATGCCATGGCACATGTGGTAGGTTCTAAAACTATATCATCTTCTTCCCGTTGCCACATCCTGTTTTGAAATCGAAAAGAAACATAGATTAGATTCTATAGCCTTCTTCAATTCGAAGCCTGCCAATTACACAAAGGAAATTAATATGGATACTTTAATGATACCTCCATGTATCATCCAATACATTTATAATTTCCTCCTTGAAATGGCAATTGATCCCTAGTTTCACAAGACTATCTACCATATGGAGTCGAGCATACACATCAAAAGGATGTATAGTTGGAACTAAACAGTGCAAAACCCAAAAATTAATGTAATGCAAAAAGAAGAAGAAGAAGAAGACAAATCTATCAAAGTAGGTTTTGTAAATGACAAACCAGCATGTTCAAATTTATCCAACAGTGAAACCAGATAATCAAGACAGTGTGCATTGTTAATATGAGTGTATGCTGCTACGGTGGCAGCTGGAGAGTTAAAAAGAGAGCCATTATTTCTCTGAAATTTCATTATCATTTCCCAATTATGTGACTTTCCAAATCCTTCTGAAATGTACGCGACATATGCTTTCCATCCTTCCGAGTTGCTTCCCCACCCACTGCAATATTGCCACACACGAAAGTGCTCGAGAGTATTATTTTCATCAAAAATATTCTTCAATATGATTGATTAAATTTAAAAAAAGACAAGTTTTAATTTTTAGGATATAAGAACAAATTGGCTCCTAAATTATAGGTCTAAGAGCATATGAGACCCTAAACTCTCTTTTTTGTGCAATATTCCCCTTCCAACTTTTTTAAAATGGTGCAATTTAACTCTTATCATTAGAAAAAGTTAAATCTGACTATAAGTTGATAAGAAAATGATAGAAAATGGCCTCAAAAATTACAGAGAATGATCAATAAAATTTTCTTGGTCCTTTTTTGTAATTTCTTGGGTCCTTATCTATAATGTTTGGATCTTTTACTGTAATTTGTGTGGAGAATGATAGAAAAGTTCCAAGGAGACTAATTAATTCAAATTAAATCCCAACTGTCAAACTCTAGAAATTTACAAATCCAATTTTCAATTTTGCAACTTCGTTATGATGAATTTGCGACTTCTGCTCCAAATTTTAACAATCATGTTAAAATTTGGAGCAGAAGTCGCAAATTCTTTACAATAAAGTTGCAAAATTGAAAGACAAAATTACAAATTTGTGAAATTTGGCACTTGGGACCTAATTTAAATTAATTACCATGTTAAAATTTGGAACAAAAGTCGCAAATTTATCACAACGAAGTTACAAAATTGAAAGACAAAATTGTAAATTCATGGAATTTGGCACTTGGGACCTTATTTAAATTAATTAGTCATCTTGAGACCTATCTATCATTTTTCCTAATATTTTTGCCCTTTTATGTCATTTTCTGGTCAACTAATGGTCAAAATTCAGTTTTGAAGGGCCAAATTACTCTGTTTTCAAAGTTGAAGGGGAATATTGCACTCAAAAATGAGTATGGGAGCCAATCTGCTAAATTAGTCTCATTTTTATGGCTTGTGAGAATTGTTTTATGATGTTGTGGGAAATGATTGCTATACCTGAAACCATGCATGGAGAACTCTGCTGATATTAGTAGTTTATAGATGTCAAAGAAGCATATTGTTTATGAAGAAGACAAGGAAAAAATTAAGAAAAAATGGTACCTTTGGAGCTCCAATTCTCTCTTTTGGACAAATGACCCTGAGCATTTCCCTCCAAAAGGAAGATTTAGATTCATATTTTGGGCTTGCTCAATTAAATGAGAAAAGATAATATCAAATCCAATTGGAGAAAGTTGTTTATCATCATGAGCTGCAGCAATGTTTGATTCAATATATCCAAGTCCTTCAATAAAAGAAAATCTCCCAATTATTTTTTCTATTTTGTGTTGTCTGTATCTTTTATTGTAAGATTCATAACATATCAATACCTCTATTGATTTGTTGTTCACCAACGCTCCATTGTTTTAGTGTAAGAACACAAGCCAAGGTTGATAGAAGTGAATCTTTAGACAATAACTCATTATTACAACCAGGAAGACCCCATGATCCGTCTATGTGTTGATTTTCTAATAACCAATTCAAAGATTGAGGGAACAAAGGATCTTGTGGAGAAGTAGGTGATGGTATCATTGCCACCCAAGCAGTGTCATAACTTGATACAGATAGCTCAACATTTTCAAGCAACTTCTTTATTCTTTCTTTATTCACCTCTAACATCTGCATCTGCATTTAATAAACTCACCACTTTATTTCATTTTTTTTTACATTAAATGGCATATTGGAATTAGATCATCGTAGATACAAGAAATGAAAGGTTGATATTTTACCATGTTAGTTCCGTTCCCAACTTTGTCCTTCGCAGGAAATCCAACCGAGGTTGCTGGGAGATTTGAAAGAATAAAAACGTTAGATTTTCTTAATCATGTACTTATATATACACGATATATTGAAGTTATTAGTACCAAAAATGTGTAAGTTATCCATGCACTGATCATCAGCATCTCAGTAACTCCAGTTCCAAACTTGATACAAGATTAGCTTTAATACCCTTCATGGTGCTCATCACGTCTGATGAGACCAAAGTCATCCAGATTTCATCCGAATCGTTTAAATATAAAAATTTTAACTTTTAATTTTAAAAAATATGTTTTGGTGAGTGTGGATTAGGAGATTATCTTTATTGTATTTGTATTTATAAAAAAATGATAAAAATTATAAAGTTTTTAATAAATCTGCTCATCACCAATATGGAGATTTAGATTTAATTTCAACATTCAAAATTTAATATAAAAAATTTTATATTTTTTATAAATTGACTTTCCATATTTCTAGATTTAATATTAAAAATTTTTATAATTTTTATAAATTTTTATTTGATAAATATATTATCAAAAGTAAAGATAATTTATAACCAACACTTTTGAAAACAAAATTATTTTTAGAATTACAGGTTAAAAATTGTAAATATGAACTGACCAAGTTAAGGGTCCATTTGGTTTAGTTTATTTCATGAAGAAATTACTTTTTTTTTGAAAAAGGTCTATTTTGTGAGTTTTCATTATAATTGTTTAAAGTATTAAAAATAACTAAAATTCAAAAAAATTATATATTTCTTATTATTTTAAGAAGTTACTTTGAGTAGCTTCTGAAAATATTCTAATCCGGTATATAAGAGAGTGTTTTAAAGAGGTGAGATATGAAAAGATATCATAAAATTTTAAAATAATATAATAATAAATTATTTTTATAAGACAAAAATAAAAGAAGATATCATAAAATTTAAAAATAACTAACTAATAATAACTTTTTTATTATTGTAAAAAAAAAATAATGTCTTTCTTTATAAAATTTCTACAAAATAATAAAACAAAAAAAATCAACAAAATAATTTTTTAAAAAAGTCTCTAAACTACCTAAAAATTACTTATTTGTTAATTTTAAACAAACGCCTTAAATCTAAAAGGCTCAAGTCTCATGTTGATCATAATGATGATAACTGAAGCCATTCCTTGCTGTGTGTGCGCGTGTGAGAGAGAGAGAGAGAGAGAGACAGATGAAACCTGGGAAATCCAAAGGAGAAGAGGGTGGGAGCGAGCGCGACATGGTGGTACCAAGAAACATGATGAAAATTTTTGTTTTTCAAAAGAGCACAAGTATCTGGTGCTCTCTTTGATATATATATATATATATATATAAAAGGTTTTTTCCAATACATCTAATTTTCCTTTAAATAATAGCATAATCAACTTTTGAATTTTATTCTTCATTTTTTCATTTTATAATCACCCAGCTATCAGAAAGTCAAAAACACTATTCAAGTTCTTGTTTATGACTTAAATTCATTGGATCCTTTCTAGTCAAAGCCACTTGATATAGGGAAGAAAATGGGGAATCACAAACAAGACACGTCTTCTCACTGCATCATTGGAAATTTGATAAATAAATGGGAAAATATCATCTGGAGGATCCTTGGAGAAATTTTATACCAGCTGAAGACCTTAAGATTCTAATATTGTACTGTATCCTCTGGTACATATAAGGGAAAAAAAAGTGTTTATGGCAAAAATCTAATTACTCCTAAAGTTTGAAATAATAACCATTTGAGTTTTGACAACAACAAATTCAAAAATGAATAAGTTAGAAAAACTAATAGAACATGTTGAATTAGACAAGTGTTACTCCTACAAGAACACAAATCAATTCAAATTTTGATAACAACTTATTTGCAATTAACAACAATCCATTCAGAAACAAACAAGGGGGTAAGTTGGTCTTTTCTCATAAAAACTTATGTCTTAAAGTATAAAATTTCTTTAGGGTTCCTTTGCTTACATTTTCGCTAAATAAATAGATATTTTGAACTAGATATTTTTTGAAGATGAATTGATATCCTAAAATATAAGATAATTTTTGAAAAAAAAAAGATTCCATTAGTGATGATTATTTCAATATTATCCCCCTCATTATTTTACTCTTTAAATCTTCTTCCCTTCTCTTATTAATGGAAGGCATTTTTTTTTTCAAAAAAATGATATAAAATTAATAGGGGCCTTTGCATAGATAACCCACATTATTAGCTCAATTAAAAGAAATAACCTATCCTTTCTTAAATTTCAAAATGACTTTTTTGATATTTAGATTATAATTAATTTACAAAATTTCTCTTTTTAATATATGTTTTTTTCAAATACTAGGAGATTCAAAATGTAAAAAATATCTTGAACGAGAGAGACAAATGTGAGAGAGAAGATAGAACTTGATGCGAAAAAGACAAACGTGAGATAGTAGAGTAGTGTGAGCGAGCCACATTCACGACGGTGAGAGATAAACACAAGGTGACTTACATCGACAGTACTCAATAAAATGAAGCATGTCAGTGGGAAAACGAAGCTACATGTTTCATCAGAATTTTTTATGATAAGCTAAGAGTTCAAAATTTTTTATCAACTATGTTTCATCTATTTTTGGCAAAGGATTTTGCATTTTTTGTGTTACTGATATGCTATACTAGATCATTGGTATACAACCGTATATCAATTATAAATAAGTTTATATTTAATTGTCTAGTTATATTGATCTACAATAGTATATCAGTGATATACTATTATATGTCATTAATATATAAGCCATATTAGCAAAAACTTACCAATTTGTTTTGCATATCAATGATATAATATTGTAGATTGGTAATGGAGTTTTTCCTTCAATGTCTAATGTCCTCTTCATAATATCTGGAAAAAACAAAGAGGGAGAGAGAAGAAAAGCTCTACGATGAAGATGATGATTAAAGCAAATCAAATCAAAAATTTTGATAAAGAAAAGCATTGTACAAGAGATGAATATGATGATTCAAGAAAATCAGATCAAAATTTCTAATGAAAAAATATTTAGAGATGATAAATTAGAGAGGGAGCACACACAATACAATTTTTAATGATAAAAATGAAAGATCCAGTCAATTAAAGATTAGTTAAATCAGATATATTTTTATTTTAATAATAAATTTGTTTTGAGGATAAAAAAGAAAAAAACACATCTAATTGATTTTATGAATGGGCCATTTTTTAAAATACTCAAAAACCTCATCCATAATTTATGGGAGTTATATTTTTTTGATGCCATTGAGTTAATTTTCTCAAATTATAAATTGTTTACAATGAATTTTATAGTATGTGTAACTTATCATAAAAGGTTTTGGACTTCGATTAATCATGGTACTTGTTGGTGATATAATTTATGTTTTTTATTTTATTTTGAGATTCAGCTAGACACATTTTTATATATATTTAATTTACTTATGATTTCTTTTTAAAAAAATTGCAATATTTATAAGTAAGGTTGTCAGAATCTCAAGTCTAATTGTTTAAGTGTATGAAGGAAGTAATCAAAATGTAAACTTGTATTGTAAAGCTATAAGATATTAGGTTTATTAATAAATAGCTATTAAAAATAATTATAAATAATTAAAATATAATATATGATAATAAATGTATTTAAATATCAATGAACTTCATATGTTAAGTTATTAAACACAATCAAATATAAAATATTTAAATAAAATCCTACTACGTTTTAATTATTTTCATAAAATTTTAGAGCATTCATATGTTATCGTCAAACTCGAGGGTTGAGGAGTGTAAGAGATACTACTATAAAATACCCTCTTACTTGACGATTATTTTAGAAATTATTTGACATTTTTTAACTGTCAAGTAATGAGGCACCATATATTTATTTGACGGTTAAAAACTGTCAACTATTTTAGAGATTACTTGACAGTTATGTCAAAATAATCGTCAAGTAATCACTTAAACATTTGCATATACTGCAGTAATATACTTGACAATTTTTAAAATAACTGTCAAGTATTTAGTAACATTTGATGGTTATTTTGTAACAAGCGTCAAATATGTTTTTGCAAATTCTATGTGTCAAATACTTGACGGTTATTCCATAATAACCGTGAAATAACCGTCAAGTATTCATACATACTTGACGGTTCTTTCGAAATAACCATCAAGTAAACTTATACTTGATGTTTCTTTCTAAATAACCATCAAGTATTTATGATGTGTTTTCTTAAAAGAAAAGCAGCCCCCCTTGCAAATACAAAGCAATCAATTATATATACCAGCCAGCCAATAATAAAAAACAATTGAATCATTATTTACATTGAAATTACAATCTAAATATCTTTAATTTATCTTATATCTACCTATACTCTAAACCCGATGCCATAAAAAAATCTATAACTTTACCTACTTTATAAGTTTAAATTTTAAAATTAATTAGCCTCAGACATAAAATTGACTAAAAAAAATAAATGTGTATACCAAAATTAATTGAGCCTAACCACTGCTGCTATCCACATGTTAAACACGGCCTGAGCTACCTCTTCAAGGGCTTCCTCTATATGTACAGCTGCATACTGAATACAGTAGGCTTCCTTGAAGTACCATATGTAAAGAGTTACAACAAATTCAAGTTAATAGCTATCTAACAAAAGTTGTTAAAATTTATAATTTAAGTATCATTAAATTTAATATATACCTTGTTAGGTAATGTGGTAGGGGCATGGGTGATAATGTCCTTCAAGAATCTCATCAAGCAATAGCCACAGTCATTGCTTTAATCTGGCTAAAGTGGACACCATGAAAAAAAATCACATATCAATAAAATAATAGTTAAAAGGCCATGGTTTGTTAATTAAAAACTTAGTCTATTAGGTTTACCTTAACTGTAACCCATATCTCACAAGATTCCAATACCCTTAAGCGAGGGGACAAGGTCTTGTTGGTTGTAGTATGATACAAGACCGTAGCTCTAAGAAGGAAATAAAGAATAAATGTTAGCAATTCAATATATATGGATATTTAAATAAAAATTGATAAAAATTCAACTTACTTATTAAAAAGTTCTACCATATCTGGCCTATTACTTGGTTCTCTATTTAGAGGATCAAGATTCCAAATTTTTGAAGCAACAGGGTTAACCACAATAAGCATCCAGTGCCCCCTAATAAGAAATAACAAGTGTTATCAAATAAGTAAATATAAAAAATATTTACTGATACCAAAAGTAGCTAGAAAATGGCTTACCCTTGACAGTAAGAGCAAGAAATAAAGTATCATTACTTGCTCCCCTTTCCTTAAATTGATTTGAAAGCTGCCTTGCTTGATGTTCAAGAGCTTCCTTTGTAATTCCATTATAGGCAGAGACATTGTGGGGATTAATCAGCTTGAATCTCAACTCAAGGCCACTAGGAACCACAAATGAGGTATAAAGGTGGCTTAGGTAAAAAAATAACTAGGTTAATACACACGCATGCACACATACATATATATAATTAAAGTAATTAACTGAGAATTATCGAAGAAATACCTCATGTAGAAGCTCATCAAACTAGTACTAGCCATTTCGTGCTTGAGAATTTCATTTAAAATTTCATCACGAACAACTTCAAACAAGCCCGATCTTCCATACAGCCCATCATCAAAACTAATGATATCCCCAATCACAACTTGATGAGCCATCCTCATAGCCATCGCATATGTCTCAAGAGAGGCACGGTATTTGTATTCTACAGTTGGCACCAGTGCTGCTGGATATTGCGAAACTGTGGCTGACTCTTTGGTATGGCCCGACTTACCTTTTAGCTTGCTCCTCCCTCTCAGCTGTACAACAAAAAAGTTAGATATTTATAATTATATTATAAAATTATAAATAACTATTTAAATTGTACCTTTTTCTTTGGAGGCAATGGGTCCTTTGCTGGCTTTGGTGTTACCACTATTACAAGATAGCTAGGCCATGTAACGAAGCTCCCTACTGCTTCCCCCACCGTCTGTGCCTCATCAGTAGGAACAGGCAATGGATAGTTGGGGTCAATGGCAACAAGTAGAGAAACTCTAACACAGTCGAGCGGGAGGGGATGATTATAGATTGTGTCCCCGAGAATGTTGTACACATGCCCTATTATAACCACTCTACGTACAGGAGTGTCTGCTAAACAATTGCAATCGTTCTCGCCTTAATTAAACAAACAATGACAATCAGTTTCTAAAATAAAAATAATTAGACAAATTCATAAGGTAAAACATATTACCTCAAGTAGTTTTTCTGAGGGGACTGTGCAGCTATCTTTTTGACTAGGGCTAATCTC